TGTTTTCTGTTTTCTTCCAGACTCTAAACAAATACTTGAACTTCGCTAACCTGATCCTGAGGGTTTTCCACCTGAGCTACCTGCACAACTGTGAGACCAGGAGGGGGCAGGTAAGGATGGACAGGATGCTGCTCCACATGTTTTTTTTACGATCTCTTTCAACTGCATTCATTTTTAGATGTAATATAAATACATAGTGAGACATCTTTGTGCTGCAGAGCTCCTCAGGCTCAGAAGTGTCACAGACCTGTTCTCGTGTGACGGATGCTTTCACAGTGATTTTGAACAAAGTGCATTGTTGTTTCAACCTTAACGGCATGAATATGTGGTAGGAGAGAACAGAAATGTAACACTAAAAGGAAGAAGCATCCGACCCTTTATACCTCAGTTCACTCAGAGACTGAAAGCACAAACTGTAACAAAAACATGTCAGAAACAATTAAGGGAAGCAGCAACGGGAAAGGAGTGGGAACGCTCAGCTCAGCTTGCGGGCTTATGGGTTTGATGAAGCCTGAAAGTATTCAGTTCTGTTCTACTTTCTCGTGTTTTGTTGTCCAGGTGCTGCTGTGGTCGGCCAGCAAGGTGTTTGAGGAGCTGACGGACATAGAGAGGCAGTTTCACAAGGCCTTGTACACAGTCAGAGCTTTCCTCAACTGTGACCGCTACTCTGTGGGTCTGCTGGACATGACGAAGACCAAGGTGGGCTACCATTAATTCACACCCAGAGTTACAGATAAGCTAGAAACTAAATAAGACAATTTGTAATGAAACCAGCAAAGCAGCACTGTGATTCCTGATGATCCCTATCTTTTGTAGATTGTTAGGTTCCACAAGTCTTTGCCAGTGTCCCTTTAAAATCAGCTTCCAATGTATTCTAAATTTGAGGTTCAACGATCCGATCACCTCATCAAAGCTTGATTGCTTTAAGACCGCACCAACACTGCAAAGTTTCTTAAAACTTTAGCCCCAAAGCAACTCCTGCACCAAGTGACTACTGCATATAACAATATGCATGTACAAACTTTAAACCAAATGCACTCGTTGCTGATTACTTATGCAGTGCTGTTTTTGTACCATTCTCATCCCTTCTGAATTCTGATGTGATCCATTTCTGTTTTTTTTTTTTTTCTCCTCATCTTTTGGGAAGAGATATTTTCAGGCTCCTCTGGGCTTTCTTTGTTTAATCTGCTTGATTTCTCATTCTTCACGTGGATAAAAGAATACCTAAAACCACCTTCTGATCGCTATCCTCGTCTCCCCATGTATTTGTGATAACTAACACATTGTCATAAATACTACTTATTGGCTGAGGCTGTCACCTAATTACAAGCAGCTGCCAGTTGATTCCTAACACCTGCTATCTGAGAACAAACACATGTTGTCTGCCTGCACAGATGGCTTGTCTGATAACAATACTGGATTTCATGAATAAAGCACTTAAGGATCAACAAAACTAGTAGCTCTGCGTTGAGCTTCGGAAACTGCACTTTCTTGAGATAGAACAAAAAAATATGACATACTCCTAAGAGGCTGCTGGAATTAGCATTTTCATACAGAGTGGTGCTGTTAGATGTAATCTGCAATATACAGTAAATGCATCTAAATAATAAAACAAGTGAAGCAGCTGTACTGCCTCTCTCTAAATCCCCTTGTTTCTCCTTTTTGTGTGTAGGAGTTCTTTGACTTGTGGCCCGTTCTGATGGGAGAAGTTCCACCCTATGACGGACCCAAAACTCCCGACGGCAGGGTGAGGAAATATTGACCACCGCTACTATGAATACTGCTCCTGCTCAATTTAAATGCCACTCCTCATGTTGAAGACCGTTCTCAAAGCTCCCAGTGGTAGTGGCACATTTTCTGTCGTGTCATCGCCAGGTCAAATGTCCCTCCGACTGCACGAATCCACAAGACGAGACGAGAAATGTGCCGTGAATATTTCTGGTCCACAGAAAAATTAATCTTCTTTTCTTTGGATGAATCTCTGACCTTTCTTCTTGTATCACCGTCAGACTAATGAAAAGCTCGTGGGTAGATTTCCCTGACACCTGCTGAGTAAAATCATGCTCCCAGGTCTATTAAACTCCTGGTTTCCCTGAGTGATCATGTTCCTTGAGTGCCCCCCTCTAGACAATCTTGACATCTTTAGCCTTCAGCTTGACTCCATGCAAGGCTTGAAGATGAGCTGAATCATCAGAAACTTTTTTTTTTTTTTGCACAGTTGGTAGTAATAAGCATTGCAGTTTTAACAGGTGGAGCTTTCACCAAAATCCACAGTTGAGCAAATGTGGATGTATTTATGTGTATATAATTTATAGTTTCACTGCGCTTGCTGAAGGTGAACTTGGAGCTGTTTTTGGGAGCCAGTGTTCTATGTTGGCAGCTTTTAAGAACCAAAGTCATTTTTGCTGGAATGTCTCTAATTTTTATGTTTTGTCTTCTTAAGGAAATTATCTTCTACAAAGTGATCGACTACATCCTCCACGGCAAAGAGGATATTAAAGTCATACCGTAAGTCCCAGCAGATAGAGATCTAGTTCAAAGGTACCCTTTTGACCACGAGTGCTACATACAGCTGCCAGACTCGCACTGATTTGCCCTTTTCACCTCCTTCTGAACTGATGTCCGGTTTTGATTTTTTGGAAATGCAGCAGGTTTACAGATCCAGCTGTAAACTTCCCAAACTGCTTGTTTATGATGGTTATGATCATCAGCCATGCATTGAATGCTGTGGCCACGTAACCCTAAAAAATCAACACATTTAAGCGAATGTTGGCTACAAATGTTAAAACTGATATTTTTTCTTCGTGGTCTGAAATAATTTTACCTCCAGTTGTCGCTGAAGAACAGACAAACCCTACTGACCAGATCTTTCCAACCATTTTCTCATCCGGATTTGTTTCACTTCTTAGGTTTTAGTATCACTAGCGTTACAGCAAGTTGTTGCACCACAATGTCCATTTTGCTTCCGTCTGCTTCCCCGTGAGCTCACGTGAAGTGAAGCTCTGCTCCCTGATTGCTCCCTCTGGCACGATAATCATAGTGAAATGTTGAAGTGTGTAATACTCCTTACCTTTGCATAATTTCAAAAACTGTTTTAAAACTCCTGTCGAGTAATCCCAGCTTAATACAGAGGTGACAATAATGTGAAAAGAAATAACCAACAGTGGCAAGTAAGAATAATCCTACAAGAGAGTAAACATGGATATAAGAAAAGCCGGTTTTATAACTTGAAGAAAAATGGCTTTTAAAATGTTTTATGAGGAAGGAGATGCATTCAACACACTTAGTAAACCTCAGTGATGCACAACTTGTGTTTTAGTGAGATTTCTTACCAGATGTAACCACAAACTTTACACCTGGAGCACATTTACCGTGTTTGAAGGTGGTTATTATGGTGACACGGCACAAACGTAGGAAAACAGAGAGCAAGACCCTAAGCCAGGGGTGGTCAACCCGCGGCTCCAGAGCCACATGTGGCTCTTTTTATCCCTCTGGTGTGGCTCCTCGTGGCTTTGGACAATAAATAATGACTATTTAATTTAAATGTATTTAATTTTAGTTTGTTCGTTTTAAAAATGTAATTCTAAATTTGAAGATCATGGTGATCTTGTAACATGAAAATAAAACGTGTTTAATTTTTTGTCGCTCAAAATATGCGTCACAACCGCCGATGTGCGACACCTGCTGGTACACGGCGTTGCCAACTTGGTGACGTTCTCGCTAAATCGGGCGACTTTCAAAATCCTCTTGCTGACTTTTTTTTTGTCAAAAGCGACCTGCGACAAATGTAGCGACTCTTTCTGGTGTTTTGGAGACTCTGAAAACACCAGACGTCATTTTTATTTAGCTGCAGGTGAATAATTTAAGTTCATATGTACAAGGAGGATTCAAATAGATGCTGAGTATTTTATTTGAATGTGACCTTCAACCCTTTTTTTCAGAGTTCAGTGTTTTGGTTGCATGCAAAAATAAAACTTTGTTTTCTCTGCAGCAGTTCACTGATTTCATAAATGCAACACACTATAGATTTTTATACATAGTATAGAGGTAAAAGAAATATATGCTATCTATGTTGTCTTCATTTTAGATGTCAAAAGGGTTTTGTGTTTTCTTTCTGTGGGAAACAGGTCTAAATGGCTCTTTGAGTGTTTAAGGTTGCCGACCCCCATTCTAAGCCAAACATGAGCTGTATTTTAGCTAATAAAAGGGTAAAAAAAAGAGATTCAAGGGCCAGGCAAAACCTTGCAGTATTATTTATATACTTTCTTTTCAGCCAGTACAACACTGACATTCTGGTTTGGTGTTTTCTTTCCTCTTATCCAACACTGCTGCCCTTGTAAACATTAATTACCACTGTCCAAACATTTCACTGCAGAATAATCTCACCTGTGTAAACTGAAAGCTGTCCATTCATTTTTTGGTTTTAATGATTTTTTTTTGTAAGATTTCTTCAACCATGCCAGGGTCAAATTCATATATCAACGCTAGGGAACCACATTCTAACCAATAGTCGGCAGCATTATCAGTCAATAACAGGTTCATCAGTAACATAAATTAAGTATTTCTGATGTTATTCAATATGCTGATGGGGATATTTTTAACCACAGATGCATGACTTTAGCGGTTAAACATGTTTAGTTATAGAAGCCATTCAGTAATAGGAGAACTGTCCCTGGAGATTATGGCTAGTTTTGAGAAAATGGCCTGTAACTATCAAAACACAAGTCTTTGTCACGGTGGCCCACTGCTAGCTAAACCCCGACAGTGCTCTCTGCTTGCCAATATTACCTCCCCGTAGTTCAAATGACCACCTGCTGAGATCACTGCAGTGTTAAGAGGCTCCACTTGGTGGAACAACCAGGTACTACAGCTAATCTTCAGTACATCTTCTCACAAGCATATCATTCATCTTCTGCTTTATCGGTTAATATGTGTTTTTATTGGGTAAACTAATACTGGAAATTAATAGAGTAACAGTTATTCATGACTAATTAACACTACACAAGAGGGTACTGTACACATCTTTTCTTGTTGAAGATGATGCTGATATTTTCTCTCCTTGTCACGTTCTGTCCATCCTCAGGAACCCGACACCAGATCACTGGGCCCTGGTCAGCGGTTTACCCACCTACGTAGCAGAGACCAGTCTGGTTCGTACCCGTTTATCTTAAGAACACACATTGTTTCCCTTTATAGCATGATGTTGAACAAGTCTCGCAAGATGACATAAAGGTGGTCAAATTGTTGTTGCTAGAATGTTGTGACACCACTGGCATGCATTTGATGCAGCATTTTTGTGGATCTCACCCAGTAGCATACCTTAGAACAGGGATGTCCAATCCTGGTCCTCAAGGGCCACAGTCCTGCATGTTTAAGAGGGTTCCCTCTTCCAACACACCTGATTCAAATGATCAGCATCGTTATCAGGCTTCTGCAGAGCTTGATGATGAGCTGCTCATTTGAATCAGGTGTGTTGGAAGAGGGAACCATCTAAAACATGCAGGATTGTGGCCCTCGAGGACCAGGATTGCCCAAGCCCTGCCTTAGAAGCACAGAAAACCTCCCAGTTGAAAACCCATCATGTGTCGGGTATCAAACCTGAACTGCACAACCTTACTGCCCACCACGGTATTAGACGCTGGTGTCAAACTGCCTTTTGCAACTTAAACCAAGCCAACAAAAAAACACATTTCCTTCCAGGTTCATGGCTCTGAAAGCATTGCTTCAGCTGTGTCATGTTTTGACATAGAAAGAGAAAACTGACACAGAAGCATTTCGGCTGCTGAGGGATTTTATTTGTTAAAGTCAGAGCGGTTTGAGGCTGCTGTCGAGCTGGTTTCTGCTCTACGTAAGCTGAAACCGGCTTGTGTAGAAAGTTTCATTGTGTCACCTTTGAGACAATAATGGCCATCAAACTGTGCTTTGTGAGCACCTTGTATCCGTAGCAGCACATTTCATCATTCGTCCTCCTTTATTCTGTGGATGTGTGAGTGTTCTGTCTGCCTGAAATCTTTTCCTTGGTTATTGTGAGCATATTCAACTCTCAGAAGCTTTAAATTAGACCAGATGAGGGCAAGAACTATAATCAGATTTAAATGTGAGGCACCTGGCACTTTCATTTACATTCTTAACTTAACTTGGACAGTTTGTCAGGCCACATGGACACAAGATGACTGCTGAAGGTATCGAACATCATGTGACCTTTCTGCTTGGTCACCCCGGAGGCCAAACATGTATGAATTAATCCACGAATGAATAATGAATGAATGGTCAGGGACCAGTTTGAATGCAAATGGTGGCAGCTCTGTTCAGCGAGGGAGTGATATACCTAACTGCAGTCATAACAACAACCTGTCTGACAAGAAGGCAGACGAGGCAAGACGGGGCCTCTGGCAGGTTCACAGCATCAAACACATGGAGCCCAGACGTCAACACATGTCGGTTTGGAATATATATGTCAGTCTACTGAATTTGCAGGTTTTAATCACAAACACAACCAGGTCCTCTTGTATGGAGATTTCCAGCAGCCAGAAACAGTCTCCAAGATGGTCATAAAACATAATGCAAAGATAACTTCTTAAAGTTTTTACATCTAGAGGATTTGAGAAGCCCTGTGCTGTCATGTTCACACACAGGTTACATCAGAACACACTGGAACACGTGTAGGTCAGCCACCTTTCAGCACAACCACTGTAGTTACACTGGAGATAAACATAACGGCTAAAATTAAGCTTCAGATTACAGTCAAACGTGTAATAGGTGAGTAAAACACAACCTTTTATGTGGCCTCTGTGGACATCTGCGCTGAAATTCCATCAGACAGAGAGCTCCTTTCTTTTCTTTTCTTTTCTTTTCTTTTCTTTTCTTTTCTTTTCTTTTCTTTGCCAGTTTCACCAAATGCCAGAATTCTAAAACGTTTCTGCAGAACCCTATATCTGAACTGATAGCTAAACTAACCGTTTTGTTCGTGGCCCCGTGCAGCGTGTTAACAAGCGCTAAGTTTATCTAAAAGCTATGATGAAGGGCAAAGCGTCGACATTCTCCACAAGCTAATCTATTTTTATCTGCTGATACAGATGTGTGCAAGCAGATCGTTCACACAAAAAGCATGTTTATTCCCCC